GAATTCCAAAAATAAGCTAAATAAATCTAAATAAAACCCTGCCTGGGAGATCTGGCAGAACAAAAGTATTCTATATAATACTAAAAGATACAGTCCTGCTATTATCATCTGCCAGCCACAAAAAAAGACACAAAGTTTGTTTGTTTGTTTATTTAGAGATATCTGCAAATATTTTTCAATGGAAGTCAATGGAGGAATATGACTAGTCAGTCATAATATATTTGCAGATATTTCCAATCTGAATTATAATTATGACAAGTCAAAATATAATTAGAGATATCTCTAAATATATTTATGGATAGTCTCAACAAGGTTTAAATGCTAAAACGGCTTGCCATACGCACAGTGGCACAGTGGAGATTTCTCTAGTTATATCGTTTCAGTCGTTTGTTATGCAGTGACATGCAGTCAAATATTTCGCCAAACAGTCCTTAGGGATGCGGTGATATGCAGTCAGATATTTTACCGGACAGATCCGCCACTTTTGGCGCGCATAAACAGTTTCTCAATATGCGTTCTTCAGCGGTCTTGCGTCCTCGTGTTCTCGTGAAACGTCATCATCAGCTGCCTAAGTTCAGTTCCAATACTCAAGACCGCAAGTACGGAGGACGAGTGAAACTTCCCGGATGTGTTCTTGATATCGAGGACGCACCGATGCAGACTTCAACAGCGAGCTCGCTCTGGAAGTCCCAGAAGTCATTGCGACTGGAGGTGGAAAGCGCAGCATTTTATTTAGATTTATTATTAAAGTTCAGAGATTTAACTTATTTACCTCAGGAGTTTCCCTAAATGAAACGGTGAAGGTAAACATTAACATGAACATCTTAATAAAGGAATAAACACATTAATTGTGTTTGTTTGATGAAATTCGTATTAATATTTGTTTTATTTATAATGTGCAGAGTATATTTATAATGTTTTTATGCAAAGTATATATTTTGAAGAGGGGGGAAACAATAAATCGTTGTATGAAGGCTGTAATGTTTAAATGATTTCCATTTAAAACGCGTGAAGATCATGTGACCATCAGGAAGAACGCAGCATCCCATTTCTCAAAGGACGCGTTCTCTGCCCTCGCGGTCTCCTGAGTTCGTTCTTCCGAGGACAGCTGGCAAGACCGCACTCTACAAGAACGCAAGTCCATTCTCTGCGTTCTTGGAATTGAGAAACAGCCAATCATAAAGCTCTCGTGCTGCAGGAATGAGGAGGTCTGCTGAAGGCGCACAGCTGACGTGCAGTGAGAGGTTTGCGTCTTTAATAAACTACGGCAGTTTGCGATCACCGAACAGTAAGAATGATTAATAAATCCATATGAAACAGTCCCTTAACAGTCACGTCTCGCTTTCAGTTTCGGGCTTTGGCGCGTTTTGCACTGAGCGTGTTTCTCTCTCTCTCTCTCTCTCTCTCTCTCTCTCTCTCTCTCTCTCACTCACTCACTCACTCTCTCTCTCTCACGCGGGCATGCACTGTGGTCTCATGAGGAAACGCTGCTTTTTGATATAGTGTTTTTCTTGCTCCCGAATACAAATAATTTTTCAAGTATTTGTTCGAATCAAGTATTCGTAAAAACACGCTATTCGTGCCTTTCCGATTACCGTATTCGGGTTCGGCTCCACCCTTAATATATATATATATATATATATATATATATATATATATGTATATATATATATATATATATATATATATATATATATATATATATATATATAATGCTTATATTAAAAAAATAATGAGTATTTCCGTTTACTGCAAAATACTATAATATTTTAAATGCGTAACACCTGGTTTTATTGGATTTTTTGTTTTTGCTGTTACATACTATTGTTTTTTTCTTAGTATAGCAGAACATTTACAGTAAATAAAATAACTAAATATTTATGCCTCATATTTTTAATTAACAGTTTTATTGATCACTAAAATATGATTAACTTGGATTTTAAGTTGCTGTGATTTATAAATGAAAATTTAAAAAAATAGCTTAGATATTCTCCGCGGACGAGTGGGCGCTGCCATTTGAATCTTTTTTGGCTTGAGACTTCCGGTCTCATTCACTTCCATTCATTTTTTGACGTAAAAAACTGCTCATTACGCTGCTTGATGTTGCAATTTGATATTTTCTTATTATATTATTCTACTTGGTCTGTATAGTGATGCAAACATTTGTTTGTAGAGCAAGTAGTTTGACCGTTTTCTGTCGTTTATTATTCCTAGTAATTTCTCCCATAGGCGACTGAATCAGAAGTTCTAAGACAATCGCGAAAACAGGCGCACTTCAGCATTTTAGAATAAGGTCAATAGATAAGCTACTTTTACCAAGTAGCTTTTAGCTTAGCTTGCTACATTTCCCAGAGGTTAGCTTTTTGTGTAGTTAAGCTACATTATTCAAGTAGCTTGCCCAACACTGACTTTGGGCTCTATTTTGACAGTCCATGTGCAGAGCGCAAAACGTAGGGCGCAAACGCTTTCAGGGCATGTCAGAACGCGTTTTTGCTAATTTAAGGACGGGAAATCTGTCTTGCGCCGTGGCGCATGGTCTAAAAGGGTTGAGTTTATTTTCTTAATGAGTTATAGGTGTGTTTTGAGAATAAACCAATTAGAGTCTCATCTCCCATTCCCGTTTAAGAGTCAGCTGCGTCGCGCCAAGAGCGCATTCGCTATTTACAGGAGGCAAAGTAAGTCTGAGTGGAAAAAACAGTTGACAGTTTTTTAACAGAAAACTGTTAAACAGAGCATCTACTGCGTGAGAATGAGAGATAATGGTTCTACTTTCACATTCGCTCTTGGATAGGGAAACCTTTACGCACAGACATCAATTAGCCTATAAATAGATTATTTTGTTTATTAAGAGCAAATATTCATATCAAAACTATTTCTAAATTCAGTTATAATTTCCAGCAAACGAATAAATGAATAATAATAACAAAATAAGCTCAAAAACCTGAGTTATATCCTAAAACACATGCTGTGCCCCATATGGTCTAAAACCTGGCAGGTGGGCAAATCTAAGCTTGTTTTTAATAAAACAAATATAAATATGGATATAATAAATAATACTGCTTATAATAATAACATTATACAAAAGCAAATTGTTATGAATGAACTGAAAAAGCCTCCCGAGATGAAGAAGACATAAAAGCAGTGATTTTTCATATTTATGTAGGCTAGAAAATAATGTTTTGTAATATTTTAATCCTTTATATTTATATCCTAATCTATTCTTATTATATCCTATATATATCCTTAATATTAAAATTGTTTTCGTATGTAAAGATATTTGCCTATTGCTCTCTTGTGCGTATTAAGCAGTGCATAAGCGAGGCGCAACTCTGCGCCGGAGTTTAGACCGGGTTAGTTTTGGTCTAATGAAAAATTTATTATAGTTTCTCAAAATAGCAACGCGCCAGCGGTCCGCCTCAGAACGCCTTCCTTTTTAGACCAGAACGCCTATGGGCGCAAAAATGAGCGCTAATGCATTTGCTATTTAAACAGCGCAGCGCAAACGACTCTTGCGCCAAGCTGAAACTACCAAAAGACTATTGCGCCGCGCCTTGCGCCACATTGCGCCGGGTGTATGATAGGGCCCTTTGTGTATAATGTTAGCAGAAAAAGCATGCATAACATTACCATTTATATACAGTACTGTTTATGATAGTGATATGGATAGTATGCGTATTAGCACTGTTATTCTGCCATATCTTTCTCTATTAAGTGTCATATAAAAAAAGCATGTATTTTGTCTATGTTGATTGTGTGTGTGTGTGTGTTCTGTAAATATTGTAGATTCAGTCTGCTGGTTGTATTGTCTTGTTTCCTCAGTCTCCTGTATTCTCCCAAGACTTTTTTTTCCAGCTCTGATTAACTCTGGGCTGTAAATTTGCAGCATGTCGTGTTAAGTACTAATTGTTACTGAATTATTGAGGAGGAGTTGCCCAGCTGAACGTAATGTAATTATCTGCCATGGTTTCAGGGTAAAGTCCTGGCAACTAAGGAGGTTGGCTTATTTCCAAGAGACGCCGTCAAGCCTTTCCCATGTGTGAGTACAAATAGCAGATTGTATTATAATGCTAAAATGATTCTTTATTCTCTGCCAAGCAAAACAACACATGCGATCCAGGCTTGTTCTTGGGCGCGTGCTGTTTTTGAATGGTTCAGTTACGCAAGCACCACTTCAACCTCATGTTTAAATGACAGGTGCATTGTGGGCGATTGTGTGTGCATTTGTTTTATCATGCGAGTAGCGCGCTGTGTATCATTCTGTCCACATGCTTGCTGTTATCGGCAAGATGATTTACAGTCATAATTATGTGCATGTCATTTTGAGAGGAAATATGTTAGGTTATCTTTATGAGTGCATTAAGAAAGGCAATTGTGGTTGTAAAAGGATACAGTAAGTGGGGCAGATTTCAGCGCTATTATGAGGCTCCGATTTGAGCCGCAAGTTAAAAATACTATGAAAATCAGGCTGAATGGAATTTTAAGAACAAAAGCGCACATAATGTTTGCTCTACTTTGTCTTTTTAATACTATTTTTGTCTCTCACACACCTGTTTTTAATTTTTTTAACTGTTTATTTTAGGTACCCAAACCTGTTGACTACTCTTCACAGCTTTGGTAAAGTCTTTATTCTTATTATATATATATATATATATATATATATATATATATATATATATATATATATTAAACACAAATACAATAAATGCAAATACAACATGCTCAGTGCTTTAGAAAAATTGATTTTAGAATTATTTAGATACTCGGTCATGGTAACACTTTAAAATAGAGGTCCAGTAGTTATTGTTAGTTATTGTATTTGTTAAATTTAACAAATAATTAGTAATACATTTATTACAGTATTTATTTAACTTTGTTATTGTTAGGTAATGCTATTTAAGTTAAATAATGTTATTGTATGTTAACTCACTGTGCATTAATTAATGTTAACATGCACAAGTTTGTATTTTAATAATGCACTAGTAAATGTTAAACTTTAATTAATGAATGGTTTACAAGATTATTCATACTTAATGTTAGTAAATCCATGTACTAATGGAATATTATTCTTATTTATTGTATTATTTTAATGTTGTTTATTTTTAGTTTGAAAAAGTTTCGTTGCATTTAATTGTGCATTTGTCATTTTTATAACATTCACCTGACATTGACCTGTGCTCTCTGCTTTAGGTTTGCAGGCCCGATGGAGCGAGTGCAGGCAGAAGCTGCTCTGCTCAACAAAAGGAGCAGCACATATATGGTCCGTCACCGCAGTCGAGAGTTTCATGAATATGCCATCAGCATCAAGTGAGTGATAACAGCACACATAGTTGTTTTATTGCCATGCTTAACAAGATTCTGCTTCGAAAACTGAGAAAAAATAAATAAAATCAGGGAGAAATGGTGAAAAAATGTCTCATCTCTATATATGTTTGTCTTAAGGTAAATCTAGAGTGCTTTATAACAATAACAAATTTCACATTAAGAACTTATGAGTATTCAAAACTTGCAGTTTCTCTCCTACTGTATATAAAGATTCCGGCCAATCAAAAACTCTATAGTATCTAGCATAGAGTCTCGCCCCCTAAAAGACACTAATAAAGCAGCTGATAAATGCAGATATATAAGAAAAAACATGATAACGCTTAACTTGAATGGTTGTGTTTATATCACTGTCTTTATAATACGAATGAGATTTTATGTATACTCATGACAACTGTTATCAAGCGTCATTGGCTCAGTTAGGCCATTTTAAATGCAAAGATAGCATTGTTTTAATATGGCTTAATCATGACAACTTGACATTGACAACACCTGTCAGTATCTTTGTCATAATAAGTGGACATTATCAAGACAACAAAACCTGTCATAAATCCGTCACAAACATGACCATCATGAGGGCATTTTAATTGTGTGACTAAATAGAATAGAATTTGCCATTAAATTGCATTAAATATTAAAAATGCTGTTATGAAATTAGATTTTTTTAAATGATTTTTAAATAAAAAGTCTGTCTTTTCTAAAAGAGTATTGACATTTTTAATAAGAATTTTTAATTTAAAAAAATGTCATTCCATTAAAAAAATAGTGAACAGAAAAATATTAAGACAAGGACAGGTTATGATGTATTTGTTTGTCAAGTTGTCATAACAAAGACATCTCAGTGAATGAGGCTTAACGACAGTCATCATGAGCATGCAAAAAGCTCTCCTTAATATTCAAGATGATGTGTCATATCATGATTTATGAAAATTTCATGATAGTCTCATTAACACCCTCTTCAAGTCAAGTGTTACCCAAATCACTTTAGTTTTACCTCCCCTTAGGACATATTTGCTGTCTCTGTCGCTATCTTGTGGCGGAACATTAACCCTCTTTGCTCTGCTCAGTATGACAGGCTAATGGTCGCCAACGCACTGAACCTCTGAAATTATAAATATTTAAAATAAGCATTATCCTTATAAATAAACTAGATAGTTGCAATCTAAACTACTACATTATCGCCTAAAAAGCCTCAAAAGTATATTACATTGTCCAACAGCTGCAATATTTGTCAAACGCTAATGAGTCTATTGATCTGCTGTTAATCTATGTGGTTGAAGAACTACACAAGGGTGAAGAGGCTGTACGAGTGCTCTTATTGCAGAATATCTCAAGGATATCAGCCAATCAGTTTTGACCTGCCGATCAGATACAAAGACATCTCAGCAAATTAGGCTTAACGACAGTCATCATGAACATGCATGAAAGTCTCCTTCATATTCATGAGGATTCGTCATTTTCTGATTATAAAGGTTTCATGATAGTCTTATTAACACTCTCCTCAAGTCAAGTGTTACCCAAATCATTCCTTTGGTAAGTTAAATAAAAAAGGAGGAGCTACTCTATGTCCTGGCTTGTCTTCATGATGAAATCAACACAGCGAATAAAGCCTCATTTCAAAAGAATCACTTTTAAAAGAATCAAATCATTTGTATTATTCAAACACTCAAGTATCCTGCATTCAAGCACAAGGCCAAGAGACTAAATCCACCCCATGACAATGCAATCTATTCTGTAGTTCCTGTTTGCAGACGATCATGTGCACTTTTTCTGGGAAAAAAAAAAAAAAAAACAGTGAGCTTGTAACTTTTAATCCAAGGACTAATGGAGGCGGCCCACCCCTCGCTATCGACCCCTTCTGCCTGCATGAAGCGCTCTTTGCCCCATGCATTACTATGGCAGCTTCCCATAGGGGATAGGCAGCATCGATCGCAATGATCACCAGAAAATTACTCTCATCATTTATTCATGGCCCACAGGTACAAGAACGACGTGAAACACATCAAGATCTTAACAAAGGACGGATTATTCTACATTGCGGAAAACAGGAAGTTCAGTAGCATTTTGGTGAGTGCTGATGTTTTATACTGCTTTTAAGAAAACAATATGATCAAAAGTCTTTATTATATTGGGGGAAAGTAAATGTTATGCTTGTGTTTTTAAGATCCCTGCTTTTTTATTTATTTACAAAAACAAGGCTCCAATAAATTCAATGATTTCTTTTATTTTATCAGAATAATGTTTATCTTTTGTTCTGTGTTTTAAGGTTGATAGGACCAAAGCAATTTATTATTATCTTTTTTGTACAAAGCAAATCTCTATTTTATAAGAACATTGTATTTATACTTGATTTTATGCCAGTAGTTTCATACTTTATTACAAAATATTTTATTTAATGTATTTTTAGACATCAAAAGTGACCCTAAATATATTTATATTGTTACAAGGACATGTTTTGTTTTTCAAATAATCCTTCACCAACAATGTAATAATATTATAACAGTTATACAGTCACCGGCCACTTTATTAGGTACACCTTACTTCTACCTTCAATAGCGTCAATCCTTTGTGGCATAGATTCAACAGGGTACTGGAAAATTCCTCTGACCTGATAGCATCATTCAGTTGCTGCAGACTTGTCGGCTGCACATCCATGACGTGAATCTTCCTTTCCACCACATCCCAAAGCCTGTTCAGTTTCCTGTTCTTGGCTGACAGGCGTGGCACCCAGTGTGGTCTTCTGCTACTGTAGCTCATCCGCCTCAAGGTTGGGCGTGTTGTGCATTCAGAGATGACCAGCTGGAACCAGTCTGACCATTCTCCTCTGACCTTTGGCAATAACAAGTCATTTGCACCCACAGAACTGCCGTTCACTGAAAAATACTCAGACCAGCCCGTCTGGCACCAACAACCATACCACATTCAAAGTTACTTAAATTACCTTTCTTCCCCATTCTGATGCTTGGTTTGAACTGCAGCAGATCGTCTTGACCATGTCTACATGCCTAAATGCATTAAGATACAGCCATGTGATTAGCTGATTAGAAATTTGCGTTAACGAGCAGTTGGGTGGGTGTACCTAATAAAGTGGCCGGTGAATGTTTTACTGTATTTTGGATCAAATAAATGAAACCTTGTTGAGCTTAATGATCTCAGACATTTACATAATAATGTATTTATTTGAATATTTAATATTCTAGCTTTCAGTCAAGAATAAATAACGTTAAAACCTCTTTATCATATAGAGTGAAAAGTAAATGTTACGCTCACATGTTTTTTTAAGGTCACTGGAATAAAGATAAAAGTTTGCATTATACCAGCTTATTACATTTGAAATCTCTTTGTATCATTTCAACCATCCCTTTTGTTTTGTCATCTGTTTGCTTTCGAAAGGGCATTAGGAAATCACGCTGCTTAATGTCTCTGTTCTGCAGAATAAAATCAAACGTTTTTTGTCAGCTTCTTTCTGAAAGCGCTTTTAGATTCGATCTGCCAAATGCCAGTTAAATAACATTATTGGATTGCGAATGCTGGAGTCGTATTGAATGGGCTCATATATTTATTTTTTATTTTCCCTCTTAATGGCTGTAGATGCTTTCTCTTCTCTGTGAGCTGACATCATGTTGAGCGTATGTGTGTGTTTAATGCAGGACCTCATCCAGTATTACAAGATTCACTCTCTGCGGGAAGGATTCAGGACACTTGATACCACGCTGAAGTTTGCCTACCGCGAGCCGGAGAATGGAGCCAACAGTACGTACTGTGCACAAAATACACAATGCCACTTTCAGATTCACCTCAACATAATGCAGTTGTTCTTGTTCTGAGTAATAATAATAATATACATGAATAATAATAATTAATTATATATATATATATATATATATATATATATATATATATATATATATATATATATATATATATATATATATATATATATATATAATATATATATATATATAATATATAACTATAACTAAAACTATGAGTGTCTACAACACCAAACGCTAAAATTTTTTTCTAAATAAATTTATTGGGTTTTGCTTAAACTACAGAACAAAATGCATAAAAAACATTAAATAAAATAAAAATACTTTAAATAAAATGAAAATATATTTACTACATATAAGCAAAAAAAAATGAAATGTTGAAACATCAGGAATCCAACAAATAGTTAAAAAAGATAAAAATAAATACATAAATAAATTACATAAATTCAAATAATAACAATACATAATTAACAAATTAATAAATAATAACAATGATTAATGCATATATTTGTACCTTGCGTTTCACAACTTTCCAGTTTCCAGCTGGTTAAACAAATGTGTTAATTGTTGCTGAAATGTAAGACATCATTTTATTTGCATTCGTTTTAATAATAAAATGCAGCTACATACCTTGGGCTACATAATCCATGCTCCCTAGAAATGTAGACAGAGGTACATATCCAACAATAAACCTATGTTGATTTTTTTAGATATTCACACCCAATCAACACCCTAATGTTAGATGGCACTTAACGAAAAGCAAATACACAAATACCTGTTCAACATTTGGCGGGAAAATGTCATTTACTAAATGAAATTAAATGAAGTGACATGAAACTCACGACTGTTGCAGTTGTGTTTAGCATATAGCTCATTATGTTTACAGACCTTTGAAATAGGCAGCTTTATGTTCATCTTACTTTCGTCATATTCTTTACTTTCATTTTTATTAATGACACTTTTTTACTGAAAAATGTTTAGTCGCAAGGTGTTAAACGTCGGTAATAAGCACTAATAAAAATTGTCCCGGTGTGCACAGGCATTTAGTTTCAGCTATTTTGCTGTTTTTAGTTTCTTGCAATGAGCAGATGTCCTTAGTGTCCTGCGTTTCTTGTGAATCTAACCAGTCAATCCAATTTTATTCTAATATTTAGTCTAATCTACCAGTTAATTTAGCAGTAGTCAGTGTAGTGAAATACCGAAAACACATATATTTTTCCCTGTAACTTCAAAAGAGGAAACACAAAGATGTTGAAACTAGTGCTGGATGCCTCAGCTACTTTAATGTTTCAGTTTTTTGAAAATCTGACTTGCATAGCTTTCCTGAACTTCTCACTATTTGTTCTGAAGTAATTTCCTGATTGACAGATTTTTATTATTATCCAAAAAAAATTTTTTCAAGTGACTGAATAAAGGCAAAAAAAAGCCTAAATCTCCTCAAGCTCTTCTCTCATGGATAAAGACGTCATACAAAATGCTGTGAAAACTTGAATGTAGAGAACAGTTTGTGATGTTCTTGTGTTTAGTAGTTTGTTGTGGCACCTGGTGGCTTGGGCAGTAGTGTTTGCTTGTTCAGAGGCGTTTAACTGTTAAATGTTCACAGATGTTCTAAATGTTGAGGATATAATTTCTCTTAGTGTTTGGTATAATCAGAGGGTATGTTATATGCTGCGGCATGAAAGAACACAAACCTGAAACACACACTAAGCTAGTTTACTGCAAACTTTGCAAGCTGGATTTCTCATTGAGTTTGAAGATGTCTGAATGTAGATACACATCATAATATATGTGACTCGGTGACATGGTGGCTCTGTGGTTAGCACTGTCACCTCACAGCAAGAAGGTCACAGGTTTGAGTCTTGGCTGGGTTAGTTGGGATTTCTTTGTTGAGTTTGCATGTTCTGCCCATGTTTGCATGGGTTTCCTCTGGGTGCTCCGGTTTCCCTGCAGTCCAAAGACATGCATAATAGGGGATTTGGGTAAACAAAATTGGCCGTAGTGTTTGTGTGTGAATGAGTGTGTATGGGTGTTTCCCAGTACTTGGTTGCAGCTGGAAGAGCATCCGCTGTGTAAAACATATGCTGGATAAGTTGTTGGTTCATTCCACTGTGGCCACCCCTGAAGAATAAAGGGACTAAGCCGAAGGAAAATTAATAAATTAATTATATGTGACTCAGAAATGGCGTAAGTTATAGGAGATTTGTTTTTTTTGTTAACACTCCCCCTGAAGGACGTAAAAACAAGTTGGGGGGTAAGCCATTAAATAGTGACAAATGTTTTCTCTGATCTGTATCTTTAATAATAATATTAGTAATAAAAATAGTAGGTAATATAAATATACATTTGACTACCCCTAGAACAGTTCATACCATTGTGAATGCATAATTGCACCAATAAGTATACATGAGAAGAAATTCATTCAACAGTCTGAATCTGGCAGATCTAGTGCTGTGGTCCCCAACATTTTTATCACCATGGATCGGTCAACCCTTTACAATTTTACTGTAGACAGTAGGTAGATAGGCTCAACCGTTTTCTTAGAGCGTGACAAAGACTGCGTCCGAAATCGCATACTATTCAGTAAGTACTACATTTGAATTTAAATGTACTACTTAACCATTAGAAAAGTACATTCTATACAGTATGAATATAAGCCGAATAAGCGGAACTCTGACATACTACATCTGTCATTTTGTCATGATCACGTGACTCACGGTTCGATCTCGGCATTCATTCAACTGTGTGCGTCTGGAAGGAGCGAGCGCGTCACCTCCATTGGAAATAATAAATTTGCGCGAACTCTAGAAAGGATATGACATGCGAACGGCCCCTAAAAGGCCGTCGCCATTTGCAGTCTCCAGCAGTTGATCATCTTCTTGCACAGACATGGTGGATTCACCGGATATGTTGACAAATGGGTTGCGGATCTATTCCTTGGCAATTTGTGGGTCCTTTACTGGGCTTTTTCCCCTTAGCAAAGAAACTTTCCAAAGACGTCTGTTTCTCACTCATTTTGCTGCTTGTGGGTTAAATTTAAGCGCTCAAGTGACCAAGATGTAACAAGAGAATACGGCTATTTTTCAAAATAAAATATTTTTTTTTAAGATAAAACATCATTCAGAGTCGTTTAATAAATAAAACGGAAATAATAAATGGTTTCTTGTGCGGCCCGGTACCAATTAATGGTTTCCGCTACATTCATTTAGCCATGGTGGGGCGCCATTCCAAAATTCATCCTGCCACGCCTACATTACAGCTTCTCATTCAAAACATTCAGTCATTGTTGTTGTTGTTGTATTAATATCGGGTTATAATTGCACCAAAACGCATTAAAAGGTTAGTGAATTATAACAGCGCAAACTTTTCTCTAACCGTAGTTGGGCTGCGCGTTATTTGTTTAACCCTTTAAGGTGACATGCTGACAGACTGACCGACTGACTGACAGGTGCATGATGCGTGAGGCCAGCAAACATGATGTAGCTTTCAGTTAAGATAGACACAGTTTTTGTAAATCATGTTTTATAAAAAATTTCGGGAGAAGCATGATCAGTCTTTGACGAGGCTAATTCATCACACACACAATCATTCTATAATCTAATCAGCTCAAGAGCAAACCCATATAAATAGTCAAACATGTCATATCTCCATTTTCTCTCAACTTTAGTGTCCCTCCACCACCCCAACTCCACACTATTTAACGACATACCTATTTAAATCTGAGGGGGGAGCATCCTGAAGCCGGGCTAGACAATGCGCTCGGATCCTATCTCTCTTTATCCCGATAAGGGGAATAACACGAGTTAGGGTGTTTTCCCGAGCACAGAGCCCTCTTCCCGGACAGCACGCCAAACAAGCACATTCTATTCAGTCAAATATCTGTGAGTGTGAACTCATAAATTATACTTTATTTATAGATAAAAGTCTGTGGTTCTGGATACAATGACTTGATCTTGCTGGAGTTTATAGCGGTTTCACTTTATTTCAGGACGCATTAATTCTGCTCTGTAGGTCTATTGGAGATATTCACAAATATTCCTAGCACATCTTAAAAATGTTGGAGACATACTCGTTACATATACACACTAAATCGCACTTCAGCAGTGTTTATTTGAGAGCGCACAAGAAGATCTGCACTTGAGCAGCTTATATTTGAGAGCGTGCAAGAAGTTTTGTGCATGAACAGAGAAAATCGGCGTGCAAGCAAAGAGATTCGCATGCTCGTATTACATAAATGCGATCTTGACTTATAATACACTCATGACATTTCTCCATTTAATTTCTTTGAGGAAACACTGCCATTGGTCCATGGACCGGTATCGGTTCATGGCCCAGTGGTTGGGGATCACTGATCTAGAGCACCGACAGACATCGTATGTGTTCAAATGACACTTTTCAAGTAAAATAGCTGTGTGTAGTGCTGACGCAGTGGCGCAGCAGGTAGTGCTGTCCCCTCACAGCAAGAAGGTCGCTGGTTCAAACCTCAGCTCAGTTGGCATATCTGTGTGGAGTTTGCATGTTCTCCCTGCGTTCGCGTGGGTGCTCCGGTGTCCCCCACAGTCCAAAGACATGCAGTACAGGTGAATTGGGTAAGCTAAATTGTACGTTGTGTGTGTGTGAATGTTTCGGCTGTTTCGGGTTGTGGCTGGAAGGGCATTCACTGCGTAAAAATGTGCTGGATTAGTTGGCGGTTCATTCCGCTGTGGCGACCCCGGATTAAAAAAGGGACTAGGCGGACAAGAAAATGAATGAATGAATAGCTGTGTGTATTTATATTTTGCTGTTGGTGATAATACACAAAATATCCCTCAAAACACTGAACACTTAATTTGAATTAATACAATAGATTTATATAACTTAAATAACTACATACACTGTTTTCACTAAAGCAAGTATTACACAAACAAACATTAGCAAACTTAAATGCAGTACTAATTTAAAAATAAAAGCTGGTTTGTGGCATGTTACTTCAGCTAAGCATTC